AGCATAAGAGACTCTTAAAAACTGAGAACAAACTGAGGGTTGATGGGGGGTGGGAGGGAGGGGAGGGTGGGTGATGGGTATTGAGGAGGGCACCTTTTGGGATGAGCACTGGGTGTTGTATGGAAACCAATTTGACAATAAATTTCATATATTGAAAAAAAAATTAAAATACAAACAATAAAAAATAAACTTAAAAAAAAAAGAAAAAACAATAAATTCAATCTCATTAAAAACAAATTCTGCAAGTCAAAAAAATCATAAGCCAAAATCAAGACAAGCACAACTGAAAACAGTAATTTTAACTCATCATAAAGGGTTAATTTCCCTAATGTATACCAAACTCCCACAAATTGGCAAGAAAAGGCTAAAATCCAGAGAAGGCCAGCCTAACTACTCTCTGTTGGTGCTGTGTCTCCCTTCAGCTAGAGCTGTAGCCCCAATAAAGCCTTGCCTGTGCCTTTGAGAAAAAAAAAGGGGGAGGGGAGAGGCTAAAATCCCACAAAAAAGTGGGCAAAGGACATGATCTGACAACTCATAGAAGAGGAAACACACGTTTTTCATCAACATGTGAATAAATACAATCTCACTCACAGTAAGAGAAATACAAATTAAAACTTATGTTAAAAAACATCCATTTTTCATGTACTGGAATAACCAAATGTAAGAATTTGATAACACGGTTTTTGATAAGGATGTAAGACTGTAGGAACTCTCAACCACTGTCTGTAAAACCCCATAGAGAGTAATATCGATCCATTATTACACACATATATACTCTTTAACGCAGCAACTTCACTTCTAGCAATTTATCTCAAGGCTATATTTGTATCTGTCAAAATTATGGCTATATAAAATTATTTAGTGCAACACTGAATGAAATAGCAGACGAAACTAAAGTGTTCACCAATAGAGCATCAATTCTGTGGTATGGCCATACAAGGATACTACACCACTACGAAACAGAATTAGGAGGCCTAGGGGGAGAAGGAGGCCTTAACATTTAATCAGAATCTTAAAATTTGGCAGAACAGGAAGTGTCAACATAAAAACACAGAGTACAAAGCTTTATTTCATGAATATCTAAAAGCAGTAGTTATGGCTCTGTGATACATCATTAAGTTAAAACAAACAACAGGTTCAAGACACTGTAAATCTACTTCTGAAATCATTGTTGCACTATATGCTAATTAACTTGGATATAAATTTAAAAATTAAATAAAAATTTTAAAAAAAGAACACTGTATATTATCCCCTCATCTGTATAAAGAGAACATACATATATTTATACTTATTTATGTTTATTTACCAATATATCTTTAAATTGACTTATGTATACATAAAAATATCTCTAGAATTTTTCACAAGTTAATAAAAATAGCTACTTGCTGGGGCTTAAGAGAACTTAGTAGTTGGCAAACAGAAGAATGATACTTTTCACTGTACACTTTCTATGTTTTGATTTTTTTAACATATAATAAATGTATAAATACATTACTAATTTTTAAAAAGAATTTTAAAGATGTATTTAAGGGTGAAAGTTTATAAACTAGAACATTACGTAAACACTCCTTAATACTTTGACCCAGACGTTACTCTAACCAAAAAACTGCTCAAGCTGTAACTATCTACTCATGTAATCACTGAGTTAATTCTACCATAGCATGTAATAAGTGTATTTAAGAAGGCTCAGTTGAATTCCCAAAGTTATAAGCCAGAGTATGAATTTCAACTGTATTAAAACCCACTCAACTTCTAAAATTAATGTTTCTGATTATTAGGCAGCTGTTTTTAAAATAAATATTTCAATCTACTCAGAAATAATATATGTGATAAGCACATTTTTTAAAGCACAGTGTGAATTATTCTGCTGATTAAGCTAAAAATCTAAGCCAAGTACCGATTGTTCTTCTACAACAGATTGGAATTATTTTCCATGAATTGGCTAACATACAAAGCTTTTAGTAAAGGGCTGAGAATTATAGTGCTTTGCAGCATAAAAGAACATTCTCATTTCAAAGAATTTCCCAAGGTAATGCCATCTAAGAGAGATGAATTTATTGTACCCAGATGTTTTACTTCTAGTGCACTGCCTTTTCTACTATACTTCTTCCCACAATGGCTTACTTGGGAATCTCTTAGAGATGTAAGGGGTTTTCAGGGCTGAGCTTTGGAACCCAAAAAGTCCTTCCATAGATAAAAATAAATCTCACTGAGACAGGACAAACCCTTCACAATTCTATAAAATATATACTTCTTGATGGACAACTCTAATAATAATATTATTAAACCACTATCATCAAACCACATCTTGAGTTATGTTATAGTAATGCCAAATGAAACATTATTGCTATGATTACATATAAACCAAAAATTAATCTAAAAATCAAGGATCATCACTGTCATACTAGATGAATTTTTACCTGTTTCCTGCCTGTATTCTTTTCCTTATTTTAAGATTCTAATTTTTTTTTTTTAATGTTTATTTTTGAGAGAGAGAGACAGAGAGACAGAGCTTGAGCAGGGGAGGGGCAAAGAGACAGGGAGATACAGAACTGGAAACAAGTTCCAGGCTCCGTGCTGTCAGCACAGATCCCGACATGGGGCTCAAATTCATGAACTGTGAGATCATGACCTGAGCCAAAGTCGGAGGCTTAATTGAGTGAGCCAACCAGGCCAGGTGCCCCTTGAGATTTTGTTTTAAGTAATCTCTGCACCCAACATGAGGCTCAAACTTACAACCCCAAGATCAAGAGTAGCATGTGCTACTGACTGAGCCAGCCAGGTGCCCTTCCTGCTTGTATTTCTTGACTTCTACCTCTTTAACCTCAACATTACTTTAACCACTAACTCCAAACATAGCAATTATATTTCAAGGAATATATATATTTTTAATATTACAAATGTCATTTCCAACATTTCATTTAACTGATATAAATGCCTTATGTTCCACTGATACTAATGTTCTGGAACAATAAAGAATATTGCATTTAGGAAGCCTCCCTTCTTTGTTACTAACAAAACCCTTAATAGACAAATTAGAACAGACCAAATGTCTGGAAAATTTGTTCTCATTTACATTTTATCATATTAAAATCTAAAATGCTTTCTTCTGCCTTCTAGTGTCATCCAGTAAAATAAACCCAAAACTGTCTGTTCTCCTCTAGCCCTAATAATTCATACGCAATAGTAAGACAAATTATATTACAAACAAGATTCATAAATATTCATCAATGACTGTATCACTGTCATTTCAACGTAACCAAACCTCATTTTACTCAAATTCAAAATCACCTTAACAAAGATATAAATCAGAATGCTCACTAACAGATTAGCAAAGGTGATATAGACACTTACCTACATAATGCATATTAAGAGCCAAATACTTATACTGGAAAAGCGGGTTGTTACTGAGGCTACTTCTTTGGATCTGCTGAAAGAAGGAGCTGACATCCCATCTGTACAGGACATCCAACAGCATGATGCTTGGCACCCTCAGGGCCACATTTAACACTGCCTCCAGTTTTTCCTTTGCAGCCATGTTTTTTCTTGGAGCAGACCTAAAATTCAGGAGATCCAACATATAAAAAATAAGTCACCTCAAACAGCTTTTAGATATCCTCTTAGGAATCTAATGGATTGCCATATCTATACAAACACTACATAACAATGTATAAAACTCCTCAGCCACAGCTACTACTTCTAGGCTTTCATGAAGCAATCTTTATATTGGGTTTTCACACTGACCCTTCCTTACAGGTCTTCCCAGTCTGCATAAGTGGTAAGGCCTCAAACTTTATTTTTAAAAGCTTAACTCCAACTCTAGGCACTAGCAACAAAACACCCTAATAATACTACAGCTTTTGTCCAATTAACTTGAAAGGAAAAATTCACTCCTATAAAAGTGAGATTTATGTAGGTCTTAGAAAAGAGCAAAATTTAACTGATAAAAAAAAAAAAGCCTAAGCTATTCAATAAAAATTTGCTAACTACACATTTAGTTTGCAGCATCTCAAAGACTTATCCTTTTCTATATTACTTGCAATCAAAATTGAAGTACTGAATTTACATGATGTAGATACAATTCAGAGAAACTCACGATACAGGTAAATAAAACATTGTTCACAATATTATTTCCTTGAATCATTAAACTCTTCATTTGATATTCCCATAATCTGCCTTCAAAGTGGGAAACAATTGCAACATCAAATTCTTCCTGTGATATACAGATACGCTGGCACATGGAGTCTGCAGCCCGTCTGCGCTCAGCTGTTGATGAGTAGTACGAATAGAATTAAAAAAAAAAAAAAAAAAAAAAAAAAGGAAATGAAAGATCTCCAGGACAATCTATTATTTAAAAGGACAATTCTGTGCAACACTGCTTTGTATGATAGTGCTGCAAATTAATCCAAGGAATTATGAGAATCAGGCAAACAAGTGTGTTAAAGACAATTTTAAAAGTAATGATAATTCTGGATTGTTGGCTCTGACAATATCCTTTTAAGAATTTTGCTGAGAAAGCTAAACACATTTCCAGCTTTGGCAGTAATTTCAGACATTACAGGACAAATGAAAACATTTATTTCTGAAGAAAATTACAGTGACAGATTACTATGCTATGGTTAAATATTTGTCAGTATTTCCATTTTACCCTCTAATTTTCATAGCTTCCTAGCTCAGATAGTTTAAAAAAAGAGCTCAACTTGGCAAACCATTAATAGAAGTTTGTCAATCACTGAAAAACTGATACATTATATCAATCATTGAATGATCATAAATCATTCCCATTACTTAAAAGTTATCCTAAGAATGCACAATTAACATTTTTATTAATAAGTATGGTAATTCTGATTACTTTAAATGAACAAGATCACTTTAATAATTTTCCTACATAAGAAATAAATATTGTCAGAATTAAAACCTAACCGTTGTGTCCTATGGGGGGAAAAAAGCACTGAAAAATAAAAACTCTACTCAACATTTAGTGCAAATTACACCATTCAGGAATTTCAATTTCTCAAAGCTCATGAGAGAAAAAAAAAATCTTGAGAAGAAATAATACCAAAATATCACATTAACATCCTTCCAACAATAAGGCTAAGGTGACTTTTATTTCCTTGTCTGTTTGCCAAATGTTGTAGAATACCCATTATTGGGGATTAAAAAAAGAAATTCTTTATAAAAAGTATAATATGCCTAAGCTATCTAGATGACTTAAGGAAATATATAGAACATAACTACTTACTAAGGTGGTCAAACAGATAAACAGTCAAACTCAGTTGGGAGTTTATTTCACAGTACACAAACAATGGATTTTTCTCACAAAACACCAGTCCCGTGTGAAAATCATTATGGACTAAGATAACAGTATCACTGACAGGCTTTATACTATAATGGAATATACTTTTTCCATATTCTAGAATCCAATATAAATCACTACTGCTTTGTAGGGACTATTACTAAGTTAGTACTTGTGGTCCATATTTATTTCATCTGAGTTAGAGCCTTCCTCCTTTTTTAATGTTTTGCTGTTTTTACATGTACCCATTTTTACCATTTATTGCAGCTCTCAAAGGGGTAAAGAAAAAAAATTTTAAGTAAACCAATAACCGCTCCTGCATCACGATATGAAATCAAGATATGAACAACTAACAAGAAAAAAAATCTCCTTTAATTCTTCTGGAGATTCAACTCTATTACAGAAGAGGGCCATTAGCATAATGGTACAAATTCCCTCTCAATAACCACTATTCCTGCCTCACATATAGAAAAAGGGAAATCTTGAGTTCCTAAAGCTCTCAATACAGAATATCTGAGACTGATCCCCAAATTCTACTGCATAGTAAATCCAAGACCCAAATGTCTGAATTAAGGAGGACCTTGTATAGAATGAAATATGCCCACTTAATAACAACCCCACTGCTTATAAACATTTCATTTATTTCTGTAAGTTATATTTTAGCAAGTCATTGGCAAGCTGGGCCTATATGTGGACATAGAGGAAACAAATTCATGGAAAACCAGATCTAAAATATTACCCACAAAAGCTGTGGAAAGACACACACACACACACACATACACACACACACACACACACACACACACAAAATCCCCAGCCCAACTTTGTGATTTCTAAAGTGTAAGTGCCACATGATAGGGTGATCACCATCACAAATACCACACACTACACTCCAGCACCACACACTAAATTAACATCTAAACAAAATGTGGAAACATTTATCTTGTTTAAAATCACTGAAGTCACTCACATTTGCCAAGCCACTCTATTAGAAGCATGAAGTAAAAATGGAGCTTTCTCCCCTGGCATAAAAAGATTATTCTATTTCTATGATATTTGGTTGAAGCCTAATTTATCTTTTTCCTAGATTTATTATTAGAGCTAATGAGTATATTCCAAGTCAGAGGAAGCTTAAAATTCTCTTAAAATCATAATAATACCAAATTATCCTCAAAAATAAGTAAAGGAGCTGAACACAAAGATGACACTCCTAAGGCCAAATATTGAAGTTATTTCCTGTCATGTTCAATTACACATATATTCCCCTCCATGAAAGATTTTTACATGTCCTCCTTGAAATGTTAACAGAACTGGGAAAGTAATATGCCAACACAATGTTTCAGCAAGCAACGTAAACTAAATGTGACTCAAGCTTAAAGATGTTTTTACACAGTGAAACACCTTAAAAAAAAATCCCTTCCAAAAATGGCAAAAAACAAAACAAAACAAAACAAAAACTCAACAAAGCTAACCAAAAGCAGAACCACAATGATTTCATTAGATGACTTTCCCAGGCTTGGAAGCAGCAATCACTACTTACACAGTAATGTCCTGTACAAGTATAACGTTGCACAGCTCACCATTCATATTTGTGGGTTAGGAAACACAGTCTCATTCTACACCTTCCTGGAAACACTTTGATTTTTGTTTTATGAAGAAATCACACAAATCATCCGGAACAATATGGAAAATGTATGTTTTTAAAGTAATAGCTTGTCTGTTAAAGAATTAAGAAAAAGAAATGGAAAATGGGATCTTACCAAAAAAAAGAAGGCTATTCATATCTCCTTTTTAAAAAGGCAGATAAACTCCCTTTTTAAAAAGGCAAATAAAAAATAATGAGAAAATCATATGACCCAATTTTAAATTCAGTATGATAGATAATTTAAGGCTGAAAGTTTCTACACCTTTCTTCCGCTTCGAAAGAAAAAAAATAAATCACCATTAATCTCCTTTCTTTGTCCAATCCAATGGAAAAAAAAAATTCTACCATCTGCTAAAACCAATCTCAAAAATTTTCTGGCTGTCCATACATTAGGATGGTAACCCCTGAAAATGTTATAGGGCAAAGCTAGAGCCTAAAATCATAAGTAAACTCAGCCAAAACAGATACCCAGGAGGAGAACGCACCTCTTACATAAGCATTGGCACATGTTTTAAATATAGCTGGTCCTCCCCCCTCCCACACTATTGCTAGCTAACTTTGTATGTACCTGGTTTCCACATAAACTACTAGCAATTCTGTGGCTTCTCATCTCCAAAGTGGCAAAGATACAGAATCCACTCTGAATAACAGGACCATCTTTCAACTCTTAAGGAGCCAGACAGAGGGAATAAAAACTGCTCTCTCTGCCATTGGGCGCTCAGCCTGGGTCACGACTGCAGCACCGACAGCTCATCCTTTGGGCATGATTCAAGATTCAGTAGAAGAGCACAGTCCGCATTTTAAAAAATAAAAAGGCACACAATCCTCTCCTTTCCTTTCCAACTAGTTTCCTGTTTACTGCAGACAGCGATGCAAAGCCATCCATTAATCTTTGATGCCTTCTCACTGCAAAGCCCCCTTCCTCTCTCCCCGCACCTCCTCCCCCGCCCTCCACGCCTGCTGATCTCAGCCGCGTTTGAACTATAGTAACCCCAACCCAGCTCGCTGCAAAGCAGGCAGCGCAGCAGCAGGGCCGCTGCCGCCGCGGGGCTAGGGGATTACGTTCGCAAAAACTCTGCCAGTAAAGAGGCCCGTGCCAGGGAGCTCCCCTCTTGTCAGGCCAAGGGTGCTGGCTCCGCCGCGCCACGCACCGAAAAGCTTCCAAAGAAAGACACGGGCCAAGTTCATCATCCCCGAGCAGAAAAGGGAATCATTCCTAAAGGGAGGGCAAGGGTCTTGAGTGGGAAAAGCAAAACAGGAGTGGGGTGGAGAAGGGATGGCAGCCGAGAGAGGACGCGATGGGGACAAAAAGGAAGGGATAGAGAACGCTCTCACAGTGAAAAAGGACAGATGGGATGCAGAGCAAATGGGCCCCCATTCGAAGAATGGCTTGGCAGGCCTTTCCGCACCCCCAAACAACCTCAAACCGCATGAAAGAAGGAAAGAGGAGGCTGAGTTTGGGGCTGCGTAGACTAAAGGATAAGTCAAAAGGAAAGAGGGAGGGAAGCTGAGAAGCAAAGCGGACAAAGACGCAAAAGAGGGAAAGTTGGAAGTGGGAACTAGAGAAAAGGGGCTGGAAAGGAGCACCTAGGAAGGGGCAGCTCAGGAAGCT